CGGGCAGACCTAGGGGTAGCCAAATAAACGTCCGATAATTACACTATACATACTTTAAGCTTTTACAATATCATTACTTACGCTTTACAGACAACTTTCTATAGTGCTTTCGTGACTTTAATGGGAGGTTTTACATCTTTCCCAGCGTATTTTGCTAAGTAAAATGTTTAGACAGAGAATTTATTTATTTATTTTTGTGATACACTTGAATTGGGAAATGAGCCAAAAAAAGAAGAGAAAAGGGGTTGCGGGTTGGGAAATGAAGGGGGGAAAAAAGAGAGAAAAGGATGAGAGAGAAAGGAAAAGGAGAGGAAAGGGCTGCGGGAGAAAAAATGAGGAGAGGGGAAAGAGAGAAATGGGGAGGAAAAAAGAAGAGAAAGAAAGGGAAATGTAAAAAAAAAGGGGGGGGGGGGGGGGGGGCGGGGGTGACAGGCCCAATTTTATTACTTATTTAATTTTTAATTTTGGAGGGCCAGCACGCCTAGCCCATGGCCTTTGGCGGGGGTGGGTCGGGCTGGCCATTTGTAGGACTGCCACGCCACGCCAAACAGCGGGTTTTGGTGGCTGTGGGCAAGCCAGCCCCGCTGGCCCGTTTTGACATGTCCAATTCTAAGCTTTACAATTCATTACTTACACTATATGTCCATAGCTCTTTACTGACTTGATCGTCGTGAGTTTTACGCCGAAAAGTGTTCCCGACGTATTGGTTGAAGAACCATCAGAAGGCCGGTTCAATATTCAACAATACATCAAATCAAATGGATACAAGTAGCAAATTCGATGAGAATCTTGAGTAGACAACTGAAATAAAGATGAGAAAAAAGTTGGACATAATCTAAGATTTATTTGTTGTCATTGCTAAAAACTACATTGCTTTGGCATTTATTACTAATGTTTTCTACAAATATCTCAGTTCTAATATTCCTTAGGCATGATGAAGAAGGATTATGGTCTATCACATATTAGATATTTTTCAAGGAAATTCAGTAAAACAATTTGAATAAACAAGGGAAAGCCTTGTTAAGATAATTACAGCATTTAGTAGTAAAGTGAGCAGTGTAACAAAGTGATACATCATCACATGAATGAAACGGAGGAAATGAATTTAAGAGTGGAAGTTTCATTATACAGTTGATAAAGATAAAATGACTACCTCTTGGCAGCAAATGCAAGAATCCTTTGACGGGATCTACCTTCTTCATCAAGCCCCGTGACATTGTTGAACAACTCCATAGCAGCATTACTCTGGTTGATTCGCTGTTCTGAGTTTGGTTGGCTGAAAAATAATTCAGACTAAAATTATCAAACATGGGACTACGATCCCAGCTTTCATACCATTTGGTTGTCAAAAAGAGAATTAAAAGGTGAACAGAGAAAGTTAAAAACAGGATCGGCAAATCGGCGAAGCAAATTTTGCTCATAATACAACAAGGATGAGACTAAAGATTTTTATCAGATTAATGATTGAGATCTAAAATTTTCACATGCTTAGCAACATATCAAATTAGCTTTTTGATATATGATGTAACTATATATTTTAGATCCTGAAACCACCACACCAGCTTTGAATTGTTCTAGAGATTTGAAATACATCCAACGTGGAGTCATTTATCCTTCCTGAAAATGAAGTTCTTTCACCAGTTGCAACCTAGCGAAAAAATATAGCAATCTAATGGAGAATGGAGTTTGATATTTCACAGCGAAAAAGAAAATGAAAGAAGAAAGTCAAATCCTATGAGGAAAATCAATAAAGCACAGAACAAGAGACTAATAACTGATGATGAAAATGAAGAAAAAAAAGGTAAACAGAATCAACAGATCCCTCCATCAGAACTTCTTCTCGTATTTACTGACCTATGTGGTGTGTCGCCTTCTCTTCCAGAGTTCTCATTGGCATCTCCATTCTTCAATTCATTCAGCAACTCTCTCATAGTAAACGTTCGACTCCCCTCCGCGTTACCCAGCTTCGAACCACTCCCCGATTCCTGGTTCGACTGCATTGCGCGTGAGTCCTCACCACTTAATTCACTCGAAATTTCTCCGTCAACTACAGAAATCGGTGCCTCTAGTTGGACTTCTCCCGAGTTTTCAGCATCAGGTGATTGTACATCGGTAGCGCTAGGATCAGGGAGCTTGGGATCCGAATCGGCGGATCCGTTCTGCATCTCGGGCCTCTCTGTATTTGCCGCTCGGTATACGCTTCCTTCTTGTTTGCAGAGATAGTAGTCTCATTAATTTTGGAGCTTTAATTATAAAGTTTTTTTCTCCTTAATTGTTTGATTTTTGATGGGTAGGATCGTAGGAGTTTAGATTGTGATATGGTACATAATAATGGCTCAGTGAATCGGGAGAGTGTTCGGTTTAACGGGCCGGAGTTAATTGAACTTGGAGTTCGGTAGATATCAGCTCGGCTTTCGTAGCAAGAGGTTATTAGTAGCTCGACTAGGTAGGGATCAATTGGCACGGAATTCGATAAAGCAAGTAGCTCGGTTAAGATGTGGCTTGGCAGTTATAAGCAGAGGTCCATTGCGAGCAGAGGTCCACGAAAGACCGAGTAGGTAGATAGTTTCGGGCGGAGGTCCATGAAAGACCGAGCAGGTAGGACAGTTGCGAGCAGGAGTCCACGAAAGACCGAGCAAGTGGAATAAGGACGAGCAGGAACCCACGAAGGACCGAGCAATAAGACGGTTATGAGCAGTAGCTCATGAAAGACACGTGGAGTGTCAAGATTAGAACGAGATAAATGATCGGACGGATGAGGAGCCAAGCGTACGAGAAAAGCTAACAAATCCATATCCATATAAATAAGGAAACTGGGGAAAGAGGTAAGGCTAATCACACTCTACAAATTCTAATACTACTTACAATTACATACAGCTTCCTTCTATCCTTTACTGACTTGAGCGTTGGAGGTTTATCGCCGAGAACACCTCTCGACGTATTTGCAGGTCTTGGGAAGCTCAAACGGTTGAGGATCGGGGGAGAGCCGGTTCGAAGTGCAGGAGCACCATCAGATTGTTTATAGTGGACTAGAGGTGAACTTTTTTTTTTTTTTTTTTGGCCAGGATTGTAGATTACTAGTGAATTGGTGATAAATTTACCATTTGGGCCACGAACATATTGTACAATACATATCTCTCTATTACATATAAGCAAAAGTATGAGTATCTATCTATATGCTTGACACATGGCAAATTTTTTCAGCCCAAAGTGCCCTTTCTTTTGCCTCTTTTTTACATATTTGCCACTTCACTTTATGCATAGTTGGGATCCAATATTTTGTTTACTGCAACATGCCACTTTCACAACTTTCTTCATTGTCAGATGTGCATTTACTTTCCTTTACCAAAATTCTCTCATCAAATTATAACAGATAATTGAACTCTCATTTTCTCTCTCCACCGTCACTGATGCACACGCCCCTTTTCACTGCCCTTCACTAACAGCCAACCTCACCTTCACTTTGACCTGCGACCACCTCTTCACTCTCCACCTCCGCTAATATTACGAGGTGGTCTAGCCATCCAGGAGAAGAAAAAATTGAGTTCTTCTTGAAGGAGGGATTTCATATGCCGAGAAAAGCAACACACGCAGCGCCTCATCCATCGCATTGCTCTAATCGGCTCATCGACAATCAATACACAACGTGCCAAAGACACCCTCGCTGCATCCACCAATGGGCCAGAGGATTTCTAGACCGGTAAATTTCGTCCCAGAAGATTTAGAAAAAAGGTTGTACCTCAATTTTGTCTGTACGTTGAGCATTTTTAGTGTGCCGCTATCCGGTCAAAGTTCAGTGCGCGAGAACAAATTCAGTGACGTGGGTCGGCAGAAGAAATTTTTTGTATCAGCTTCATGTTAATTCTGGCATTTTCCTTCAAATATGCTCTTTAAACATTGGCGCCACCGCATACCAAAGATTTTTTGTCTTCTTTTTGGTTTCATGTTTTTGGGGATCTTTCAGCTGGGTTATGGTTTTTGAATATTTTGATTTTTGTTTAAGTTTGTGTGCTATGATGATGAAATATATGTGGACTAGAGATTCTGATCTTGCATTTGAGGACTAACCCTTGGCTCTCTATGCACATTCTTCCATTTTTATTAAAATTTCCAATTTTTCGAGCAAATAAATGAAATCTTTTTGTTGCTCTCTTTTTGTAAGCTCTTCATAAAAAACTTGGTTTATTGCTTTTTATACTCCTGCATTTTCTTTGAAAATAGTGATAAAAAATTATGATCAAAATGAACTTTCTTTAGGAAAAACAAAACGTTACAAGGCTTATCCGTACATGATTGATTATGGTGTTCATCCCCTAATAATTGGATTTAGCCTAGCCCATCAACTGATGTGGACGCGAGATTTCTGCGTGTGAGCGAAGGCGCGGGTGGCCACGTAAGCAGAGCTTGTTGATGAAGAAAAAGAGAGCTGAAAGCAGGTACAACAGTTTCTTAGTGAATAGGGGAGAATTATCGACGGAGGTGTCGGAGTTCCAGCCGAGAACGGGCGCCTCTATTGACGGAAAAGTGTGGCCATTGTGGCTAAACCATATTGCTGGGAAAGCCATTAAGGACTGTAACCTTGTTGGGCCAACACTTTAGAAGCTCGGTAAGGTGAATCGTTGTCATTTCTCAAAGTTGTGTGCCTAAATTTTACTTTTTCTTTCTACCACTGTCTTTATCTGGTACGAGTGGATAATATTCCTCTGAGTGTTAGGTTCATTGGTTAAATTTGATAGTTTCTTGTTTGTTTTCTGGTCCCAGTTGGTTTAGGTTAGTTGATTTCTTAAGCTGTCAATTAGTGTTTTAGCTAGCGTGGCAGTAATTAGTAACGATAGTGTTGATGTTTAGCTTGGTTTACTTTTGTTCCTTAGTCTCCATATAAAGTTGAAGGGTTGTTAGATTGCAAAAGAATATGACATTTGCCGGGTGATAATTAATTCTCAAGTAGTTCTTCTGTAGGCAAATATATATAGGGAGGAATTCAATAAACTTGTATGCTATGTTGCTAGGATATTCAAGGTAACACTTAAGATTGATTGTACATCTGATGTCGTTTCTTTATTTTCCGAGTTTATGGTTAGTTACTAATGCCGTAAGATTATCCTTTGAACTGAAACAGTTTTGGTTCCAGAAACCAAAATTTACGGAAGACATCATAATGTAGGTACCATGGTGTTAGTGTTATATACTGAAAGCTTAGCTTTGGATGATATTACACTTTTATCTTTTATGAATGAGAAACATGTTAGATTAAACACGTTCTGCGCTCTGTTGTTTTGCATTAGATAGTGTGGGGTCGTCATCGGGCGAACCGAAGATCATGCTATCAGTTACTCGCGAAGCAAGAATTAATAGTTCACAACCTAGATGGACATGAACACCCCATCGGAACGATTGTAGTGTCACCTGTACAGTTTGTCTTGGCTGATTAGTTGCACTAGTACATTTATGTATTGAAGAGGATCCCAGAGAGGAGCAGTTCGTTTTATACTGATTGTCGTAAACGAACTAGGTCTCGGTTAATTACTGCGTGCTCTTAACCCGTAAGATATTAAACATGCATTTACGTGTAGTACTTATTACTTTGATTCACATGGATGAGGCTTAGTGATCCGGGCCAATAGACCCGTTGTTTTGGGTAATATTGCTACATGTAGGATGTGTTGTTAGGATATCTACGGTCACCATGTACGTTTAGTTTGATGATGTCCCCAGAGTGAGTTCATGAAGGATTATTATGTTAAACTCTGCAGGTGGATTAAATTCTGGCATAGTAAGAATGTATGAGCGAGCGCTAGCTTCGGTGAAAAAATAATAAAATAATTAATTCTTGATTGTCAGTAATTAAATTAATTAATGGACATTATATCTTAAACATGGGGAGATAAATCGAGTAATTATTATTGGAGTCTCAGTTATAAATTGGACTAGGAAAATAGAATGCAATAATATTATGTTGGTGACCTATTTAATATTATTTAATTAATTAGAATAAGTGGGCTGGCCCACAAGTATTTT